CTGAACCGGTACAATTCCTTATTTGGGCGAAAATGTGCAGATTTACACCTTGAAAACTAGAATGATTTTGAGATCTGGTGCATTTTGTTTTGTTGCTTTGCTCCTTCTGTTTGTGCGCATCAAGTTGCATTTCACTTTCATCTCACACAGACACTTTTTATATCGCACTTGTCAAGTTATTCACACCATTCGATCTCAGGCGACCGAACATCAGTGTCGTGAATCTCCCCACCACAAACAATTCCACGCCGCCAAATGTGAATGAATCGGATTTGGAATCTACTTGCATCCTAACATAATTCCAACTACCGCTCACGCCGAAACATTTAAAGCTGATACACAACAAAGATGTGCTCAACGCCACGGATTGTACAACATGTTCAATTCTGTTTACAACTTTTTGCGTCGACAACGACTTAGCAAGACGTTTGATGACGGTCAGTTGATCGTAACTGTTTATTTCGTTGTCTTTGTGTGCACCAAACCTCATCTTACGATTACTGTTCTGATCATTCAAATAAGTAACCTAGCGTGTTTTCCCAATCCACGTGGCAAATTGGTGCCCCAAAGTCCTTCCATTTAATAGAGTTGTTTGTAAAAATATATTTGAATCAACGAAATTCGTGACTAATAGCGAACGAAGTAACAATAATTGTGTTGGGTGATGCAGTGTAAATTTGTGTGCATGAAATGCCTTTTCATTCATAATTTCAGGGCGACCGTGGAGCTGAATTCGTGAGAAATTACCCACGGTCAGTAGGGTTTGTCTTGACAACGATACATGCAGTCCCTCAATTCCGGTCCGCGTGACATCAAATCTTGGTTGGATTCAGAATAAAATATCAACCATTCCGTGATGTTCGCTGTTCCAGTGGGGTGATCAAATAAACCGATGCATGTTCGATACTTTCTCTCTCTTTTCGGGATGTTCGAATAAACACAAATCGGTGTAAGAAAATCGGGAGATTCGATAGCATTCTCGTTCACTCCTATTTATCACCAGCAATTTGCCATATAACTGATGAGTTCGCCCAGTCTACTATCAATCAGCATCATCGGAAACTAGATCAAAATGCATGTTTCTGTTCCGTCAAACCAGCGGAAAAACATGAGTGGGTATGCAACCAGTTCGGCAGTACTTATCGACCGTGTGAATGTATGGCTTGGGTTTTCTTTGGAGGGTGGATCACCACTAGCGGGGCGTTTCCGAGCATTGAGCACGATCATCAATATTGCACCCGATGAAAGCAAAGGTTTTGTGAGCAACGGGTGTATGAAGGGATGATTCGACGGAGCTGACGTGAAATCTAGCCGCCGATGTTCTCAGCGGAAAGCTGATTCTTCTCCGTATAGTGAAATCAGTAATCTTGCACGAGTTTCAGTTTGTCATCCCTGACGCTGCGCAAGTACAGCTTCAAGTACAGTGCAACACCTGTGCAGGCAGTGACATCGAACGCAAGAGTTGAACGTCATACGTGCTTCACACAGTGGACTGTCATGCAACCGGCATTGTACAGTACGCCGAAGGCGAGCACAAGACAAACCAACTAGGTGGTTCTCCCAGGCGATTACCATGTACTTTTCAAAACCGGTACGTTTATGCTGAAGGGGCGAAATGGCCGAAGTGGTTAGAGCGCGGATTTACTAACCTGAAGGTTCGTGGTTCAAATCTGACCTCCGCCATTCGACTTCCCCTGTCCAGGCTTGGGCAACCTGGCAGTATCCCAGCCCTCGTGCTCCCTTCGGGTGGCATGGCAGCTAGGCACCGGAAGGGTGCTACAGCTGAACGCTTTTCTATGCTGAAGCGTAGCCGGAATAATTTTTCCCATTCTTGGAGTAATATTTCATTTTTACAGGCATTCTAGGGTTGCACAACTCGAAAAATCAACATTTCACCAACCGATCGGACTAGAATGGTTAAACAGATTGCCTGATAACAATTTTCCATGCGATACTGCCATTCCAGTCGAAGATTCCTCGCTCATCATGCTGGCCGACGACACAGTTCACCGAATCCACACTTTGTTCGTTGAGCTGGACACAGTATTCACATACTTTTCAAAAATTCTCGACTGTATGATACCATGGTGAACGTTAACCTTAAAGCTGATCGTGCGAATCTGGTAACTAGGGCTTGTATTAGTGTTTAGCGACGAACATTCACGAGGACAACATAGTGTGCCATTTGAGCTGGTCCGCTCACTTTCAGAACTGTTCCGCTTAATACAAGGAAGCGCTTTATCTGAAAGGCAGTATGTGTTCGAATAATCTGCCCAAAGTTATCAGACTTACTTTCCGTCGCCCAGCCAATCAATTCGAAGTATGTGAAGAGTGTGAGTGACGCCTGGATGAGCTCTGTCTGCATGCATGGAAGATATGTTCATTCCGGTTGATCGCACAATTTGCACGAAATTACACCCGATTTAATGTGCAACGTTTGTGTGATATTTGCGTCAGTTTGCATCCGGCATTGCTGCGTTTAGGAAGGCAACAAGTTCGGTATTACAAATTGTTTTGATGGAACTTCAGTCACCCGGTTATTGGTCGAACTTTGGATCGACAACATGTCCGACAAATACGGGCATTGTGGAATCAAATACGAGGGCGAAGAAGAACGGATGATCGACAGAAATTGTCTCATGTAAGTGAAAACTGCAATCCACAACTACATCAGGCAATATAATCGTGTCTGGCTACGTCCAACGAGGGATACTCCCAGAAGCTACATCCACGCCGGTAAGCAATATGGGGGACTTTATATACCAAGTCTGAGTACAACAATGCCGATGTAGCGGAGAACGCGTATGGAAAAGATCCTTTCTGCTCAGTGCCGAGTACTGCGCAATTTGGTCAACGATTCCGCATTCGGAAAAATTGTCCGGGATCTCAGCCTCCCGATTTGAGTCCATGGTGCATGCGTAAACACCAAGGAAGACCTGGTGGCTGCTTGGGGTGATAGTCTGCAAAACAGGGTTGACGGTTGCGGTTTACGAGAGTCGGTCGCCTCGCCTCTTTCTAATTGATCGATTGTATTTCCAGAAACCGTGTTTCCTCAGATATTTATCCGCGGTATCCAGCTCCGGTGCAACCTGCTTAGGACGAGAGTTAGAAGCGCTCGGCATGGTCATGTTGACCAGACGATATTATGTCGTGAAAACTGTGAACAACAGGAGAGTTTGGTGCAAATTTTGCAATCCTGCTGGATCACGCCTGACACCTGATGTACTTGTCGTAATCGGGTTGCAAGGGATCTCACTATAAGTCCCCTTCGACTGGTATACAACGTATTCGAGAAGATGAGAGCAACTACTTTGACGTCTTCCAGCAAACCTGACCTGGTCGCTGTTCGTGATCGCCGAGCAACTGTAATAGACGTCAGCATGGTCTCGAATGACAGTCTCGGAGTGACTGTGTGGAATGAGAAGAAGCAGACTTATGGTGCTAATGAATAATCCGTCGCCATAATCTCGGCTCTACGTGTAATCAGTTGTGATGGCCATCCACCGATGATCATCTCTTATCTGCTTTCCTCAGTCCGCCAAGGCAGTTACTGGACGACGGCTTCCTAAGGTCACAGTCAGTGACTTGTGTTTGCTTGCCACTGTGGGCTCTCTACGTGGCACATGCCGTTGAATGTACACGTTTGCCATTTGATCTCACACCAGACCTAGTATGATGGAAACTTTGTGCGGGTCTTGATTGTCCGAGCGCTTACCGCGCCTTGAAGAGCATTCAGCATGGTTTGTCTTCTCTTTAAATGTTGGTCTTTGGACGCGTGTTTCCATATCAAAATGTTCACATACGTTGGGACTCACCTCATCTGACTGAAACTGTTGTTAACACGAATGAGACGTCACCCTCTTTTCTTCCATAGGCTCCTGTTACCATCTTGCATTCGTCGCTTGGATTCACTTTTAATGTTTGTGACCCTGCTCTTCAAAAATAAATGATAATTGTATATGAAGTATATATTTGCAAGGGACACAAAACCATACGTTGATGATCAATACCTAAGGAGGAGAAACATGCCACAGAGTTACTGGGTTAGTTGATCGGTAACCTAAATTCTCGAAGAAAACCTGTTTCACCATCGTACAAACAGCACTATGAATTAACAACACCCCAGGCAAAATCACTTGTGCACATGAGCATATTTTGTCGTGTGGTTACACCGAAAACTCAGCAGATTGTACACTTGTGCGTAGAACAATAAATTTGGTGAAACGTCACTCCAGGTTACTGTGTAGGACACATCTACATCATGGAGAAAGGGGCTGGCCAACGGTTTTAATTAGCCATTCATTGAACTGAATAATGACATTAGCAGGCAGAGTGATTTTAGTGGTATCAAGACGTCCTGTGGGGCCAAATGATTACAACAGACGAAATTGCTGAACACCACTGAGGTATCAAACCCACCTGTAGCATGACCTTGTAAAGTGCATCGGTCATGGACGAGCGTGATTTTGGTAGTCTGTCAAGTCTGCTACATCGAGCTATTTCCTCATTACACATTCATATAGAATAGGCTAAAAATCTATCATGGGTTCGTCCGAGAGCTTGAATATCGGAAGATATAAGTGAGCGTTTTCCATGTAGAACTTGCATCCCATTACGGACGCCAATTTCTATGGTGCTCGTAAATTGGCAAGAAGTTCCGGCAAACCAGCTCTTTAGTGTGGCAACAAAATCAGTACCGACCAAAGACCCTGGTAGCTGAAATAAACAGAAATGACGGAAGATTCCGATTAATTTCGACTAGATAAAATACTGGAGAATAATGCGTGATTCATTAGTAATCCTGGTGGTGTGTGCTGGCCTTCGAGGTACGCCCGTGTAACTGCTGATGAGCATCACGGTTCGAAAGTGACAGTTCTCAGCTGCAAATCCGTAATTTATTTGAAAGCCACACGGTGAAGAACAAAAGAAGGCTGTCTGGAGAGTGAACCTAGTATTAGCCTACCCATGCAATCAAACGGATGCGTCAAGGAGGAAATTACTAGTAGTGGAATATAGTACCAGCAAAACCAGTCAAGTGGCAAAGAAACAAGCGTCGGCAATTCATGGGTTCGTCCGAGAGCTTGAATATCGGAAGATATAAGTGAGCGTTTTCCATGTAGAACTTGCATCCCATTACGGACGCCAATTTCTATGGTGCTCGTAAATTGGCAAGAAGTTCCGGCAAACCAGCTCTTTAGTGTGGCAACAAAATCAGTACCGACCAAAGACCCTGGTAGCTGAAATAAACAGAAATGACGGAAGATTCCGATTAATTTCGACTAGATAAAATACTGGAGAATAATGCGTGATTCATTAGTAATCCTGGTGGTGTGTGCTGGCCTTCGAGGTACGCCCGTGTAACTGCTGATGAGCATCACGGTTCGAAAGTGACAGTTCTCAGCTGCAAATCCGTAATTTATTTGAAAGCCACACGGTGAAGAACAAAAGAAGGCTGTCTGGAGAGTGAACCTAGTATTAGCCTACCCATGCAATCAAACGGATGCGTCAAGGAGGAAATTACTAGTAGTGGAATATAGTACCAGCAAAACCAGTCAAGTGGCAAAGAAACAAGGGAGCGTCGGCAATAGCCTGTTTTCGTTCGTACTCCAAATTGCGTATGCAAGTAATTGAGCCGATCGATTTGGTGGTAGAATGTGACGACCAGTGAAAAAAATCAATGTATATCTGGTGATGCCTGAAAGTGTTAATAAACTGGCAGTGTATAGGGAGCATGTGTTGGTTTCACTAGTCTGAATGAAACCACATCACATTGTCGGACGGACCGCTAATCAAAACCCACTATTAAACACAGTCAGCTGCCTCTCGTGCAAATGCAGGGATAGATGTCAAGAGCAGACAGCAGCCTCATGTAAATCCACAAAAGAAGTTACCTATCTGTTTGTGGGAAATACAGTGGGATCATCTTAATTAACGCAATTGTTGAATATTAACCAGTGGCTTTTTGTAACAGTGCGGAAAAAACACTTATTAGTGCACAGTGCATCATAATCGATATCATAAAATATCTTGGAAAGCATATGCACTAATAACAGTTTTTACTATGGTAGATAGTAGTTTACAGTTTCTAGTTGCACCATTGTAACATGCATACAGCGCTAACAATAGAATAAGTCAAAAGGTTACAGTGGTCTTTCTAATTATATGTGAGGGGTTTGATGTGTGTATAGTACGTAGAGTCGTTCCAATGCGTACAAGACGGGAACGGAGTTGTGGTCGGTAAGGTTTCGAACGGGATAGGAATTGTAAACTGGTTTGAGTGTTCGTGACGCGAGATCTAGTGAACACCGATGAGGGAACAAGGAAATATCCGCTGCACACTCATGTATGCGGTCCGTTGCCTATTCACTAGAGTAGTGGATGAAGTTCCACGATTTTCCGTGCCGGGTGGAAATATGGTGTAGGGACTCCTTTTAATGGGATAGATCGTAACCACCAAACGTAGAGTCCACTGGCTGGAAACTCTGCGGGTAGCTGGATGTACTACACCTCTGCGAGACCAGGGGCAGCGATGGACAATGGAGGCACTGAATTTCTCATAAACTGAAGGTCAAGGCGAATGTTTGGTTATCCGAACCTGTCAACAGATAGACTGAGATTATACATCTACATCGACTAATTTGTGGACAATTTAGGAATCCTACTGTCATGGTTAGATCTCTTCTTCTACCAATACTAAGGTTCATAATGGATCATTTGCCGAATTAAATATTGCCAAATATACTGCTTCACCAACAGTTGTGTTGGGTTGATTTCAATGCTTAGCAGGTGTTAGTCAAATACATCAGGTTAATCAGTTTGCGTTCTAAGAGGTAGATCAAGCAGATTTTTATTTCCCGGCATCAGAACTGTGGTCGTGTAGCGTTTGCAGGCCAACTGTGATGTGTAGACGATGTATATAGACATGTATATACCTCCTGATCCACCGGAAAGCTTAACAAAAGTTAGTCAAGTATATCAGATTATCAGTAGATTTTCTAATAAGAAAATCACACTGGTTTTTATATCCCGGCATTTAGCCGCCCGGAAGAAATGATGGGTCACTTTAACGGTCGATTCCTCGGAGAACGACTTGGACGGGACAATACACCGAACTAGGGAATTTTGTCTCACTGAATTACACGTGAAAATATGCTCGGTATTTTGCTGGCAGGGAAGAAAACATTAGCTCCTTAAGCGGAATTCAACCCTCACTCCAGACGCCAGCCAGCACGTCTCGTTAACACGTTAATCTGAGCAACTCGAAAAATGTCAATGAAGTGGAGGACACTTGCGTTCCTATGGCTGGGGTGCCCGTTTTCTAGAATTTAAACCTAAAGCGTATGTTCTTTTACTTATCTGGATTGCCTACTGGAAACTTAGAAATTCATACAAAAATCCTGCATAGTGCTTCTTATAGGGCGCGGATGGCGATATCAACAGCCTACTAGAACTGGCCTATCAAAGAACGTTGTTTCAAAAGCCAGTCGATATATTTTGCTCGAAATAATGCAAGCTGTACCCCAGTAATTTTGTTCGAACAAGGGATAAGATTTGGGTGCAATATTTGGATAGATTGCATTTACCTAATATATATATATATATATATATATATATAATATTAGACAACGATTCTAGTAGGCGCTTATCTGAGAGGTTCAGAGGCTTGTGCGCATTCGGTGAAGCAATAAAGTCGGCATCCGTAAACCCTCGTTAATGTCGTGTGGTGGTGACCAACTAATCTGGTTTGACGGGG